ATTTTTTATACATGGATTTGAGTGCAGTTGGGGATGGGAAGTGCATTAGAGACTCTATGTGGGCAGGCATTTGGTGCGGGGAAGCTAAGGATGCTTGGGGTTTACATGCAGAGATCATGGGTGATTCTGCTAACTACATCTTGTGTGTTGCTTCCTATCTACATTTGGTCTCGTCAGATTCTTGAGCTCGTCGGAGAAACAACTGAAATCTCTGAGGCTGCCGGTTAGCACTCTAACAGTCTAACATTCTTTCTTTAAAAGAACCAACAAAAAAAAAGAAAAAGAAAAAAGAGAGAGTAGAATTTGAATGAACCGCAAAATTGCAGGAAAATTTGCTGTGTGGATGATTCCGCAATTGTTTGCATATGCTATGAACTTTCCCATACAAAAGTTTCTACAAGCTCAGAGGAAAGTGTTTGTAATGGCCGCGATATCCGCTGTTGTGCTGGTGCTGCATGCATTCTTCAGCTGGCTGACGATACTGCATCTTGGATGGGGCTTGACCGGAGCAGCAATTACCTTAAATACATCATGGTGGCTCATTGTCATCGGTCAGTTGATGTACATTTTTATCACTAAATCTGATGGTGCTTGGGGTGGATTCTCCTGGTTGGCTTTTGCAGACCTGTGGGGGTTTGTGAAGCTTTCCTTCGCATCTGCAGTCATGTTATGGTACAATATTTCTCTCAACCTCTTGATTTTGTTAGCAAATAAGTAGATAACCTTTAATCAGTTTGATCCTGATGATTTTTATGGAAATGGAAATTGGTTTGCAGCTTGGAGTTTTGGTATTTGATGATTCTGGTGGTGATCGCTGGGCGCCTGAAAAATGCTCTGATTGCTGTTGATGCCATTTCTATTTGGTAGGGTTTTCACCATCCTTTCTCGTTTATCTAAGACTAGGAGTCAATGCTATGCTTTGGTAGCCAAGACAACTGCAATTTAACAGTACTTTGTTCTGGTAGTCTAGAGACAGTGTACTGGAAGAGGAGTAATTTAGAGGTTTAACACTCAGTTTTGATAGGATTGTTGGAATAAAACAGAGTAATACAGAGGTTCAGTACTATATTTTGGTAACTAAGACGCAGGAATGAAACACACAGGATCCTGTGAACTCTGTTCTGAACCTTAATTTCTACCTTTTGCAGCATGAACATCCAAGGATGGGATGCTATGATTGCAATTGGATTCAATGCCGCTATCAGGTTCTTCCCTTCTTCACATCTCTCTATTTTCTGATAGAATGTGAAATCTCCATCATAGATATCATACCCCAATTATTTGTATTACTTGAAATTTCTGAATTCCTCTGTTTTCTGGGAAGGCAATTACCTAAGACACTGCCTATAAAGCTGAAACTTACTTTTTTTAATGTTCTTAACAGCGTGAGAGTATCAAATGAACTTGGAGCAGGAAATGCAAAGTTAGCGAAATTTGCAGTTGTTGTTGTCTGCATAACATCTATGTCCATAGGAGTTGTAGCCATGGCTGTGGTGTTTGCAACAAGAGATTACTTCCCTTACCTCTTCACTAGCAGTGAAACAGTTGCAAAAGCAGTTACGAAACTAGCCGGCCTCTTGGCCTTCACAGTTTTCTTGAACAGCCTTCAGCCTGTCTTATCTGGTAATTAAGCACAACAACAACAACACAAACACATTGTTCCATCAATTAGGCTAAAAGCTCGTACGATTTTGTTTCTCGTTCAGGTGTTGCTGTTGGAGCTGGATGGCAAGCCGTTGTAGCTTATATCAACGTTGGATGTTACTACATCATTGGATTGCCTGCCGGGATAGTCCTAGGGTTCACACTTAATTTAGGAGTTGAGGTAACACTTACTAAATTACTAATCTCCTGCTTTCTTCTAAACATTACACGTTTTCCTTTAATTTATATCTTTGGTGCTTGAATGCTACAGGGTATTTGGTCAGGCATGATTGGAGGAATTGTTTTGCAAACCATAATATTGATAATTATCACTGCTAGGACCAAATGGGAAAGCGAAGTGAGTATATATGTCCACCCTTTACCACACACCATTTTCACCCCAATTGCTCGTCTCGTGTCTGAATTATTGTTCATTTTGTGTATTACTATTGGTAGGCTGAGCAAGCAGAAAGCCGTGTTAGGAAATGGGGAGGATCAATTGCAGAGCAATGATTTGAATAAAAACTTCCACTGTTACTTGTTTCTTACCAGACACTAACT